CTACGGTCATTCTGTCCAGCATATGGACATGGCCATGGCTAGCACCTGCAGGACAAGGAGCCTTTCTCTTTTTCTTCCTCCAGCATAATGCATCCATGTCAGAAAATGGGGTTTGGATCCATTACTGAAGAGAGATACTGGTTACAGAGTACTTTTCTTCTGCATCTCTCTCCATGCGTCCAGTTTCACTTCTTTATCTAAGTCTTTTTTTCTCTCTCTAACCTACATTTGCTTATTCTTCTCATCCATTTCTTCCTCCACTAAAATTAAGCATATTTTCAAAGTTAACTCTTTTCTGCTTGAGTCAATATATGCTAATTTTAAAAAGAGTTAAGCAGTGTAATGGGACCTTTTCTGTGTTTGTTTTTATTAGAAAATGTTCAAACAAAACATACTGGATAAGAGGAAACATGCCATTAGCATTATTGGAGACCTCTTGATGAAATGTCACATCCTCCAACAAAAGCATTGACCTGATATAAACACAGACACATGTTTGTGTGGCTCCAGGAAGGATTCATATTTGGAAAAGTGGAGGGGAGAGTAATTTTTCCTATTTATCTAGGAATCTGAAAATAGCCTGAATTAAAGCATGGCTTCTTTTTCATCACCGTTCTCATTCTACGTCAATCTGTATCTTTGAATGAGATTTCGTACATATGTTAAGTAACATCCTGCAACAGAACTGCATGACCATCATTGTTATGCTGAGTGCCTTGAAAGCTTCTTTGAAGACTTGTGGCCTATTTCTTTTTACCCTTTCAGCTTTCTCTTCTCATTAATATAAACACTTCATAATTTTGATATATTTTGATTCATTTTACAACCAGACATTAAGTGAAGCTGATGCGTTTCAGTATCAGTCGTATTTAAAAAGAGAAAGTGCTGGCTGTGCAAAAAGCCCTAGTTCATCTGTGTCAGTGGCATTTCAGGAGAAGGTCCACCCTGATCCCCTACATGGGTTTCCCAAGCAGTAGGGGTTGCACTGGTACCATGAAAGGTTCCTGTCTTGCACTCTGGGTTCAATTCCTGCTGATGACAAGAAGAAATCTTAATTTTTTTAGCCTGGGAACACATACCTTTTCTCATTAGACCCATGTAGGGAAGCTCCACACATTGCTACAGGAGCTCTTTCATCTTTGCGTGAATCAGAAATGCAAATCCTCAGCTCTTTTTCAAAAAGACACCGTTTTAGTAAGGATTTTGCGTGTGTGTGTGCATGGAGACAGTGAGATATTTGGGGTGCTGCTTTTTTGATGTAAGTTACCTGTCAGTGATGTCCTAGAGTTATTTATAATCTGTCTGCTCACAATGCTTCCAGTTTGTGAGTTCCCTACTTTGCCTGTTCACCTGTGAGTAAAAATCAAGATGTTTCATTTAAAATCAACCTCTACAGAGTTTTAATGCCAAACAGCAACATAAGGAGATAGAAGCTTTTAGTGATGGGTGCTTTATCCTCAAGCAAGAAAACTGTTATACCTTAAATGTAATTTTCTTAACTGTGCATGGCAAAGGAACAGGGCTTCTCTGACAAAGCGGTTACAGTCTAATGTTTCGATCACAGAGATCCAGGGGTCTTTTCCAAAATGGAGGAAGCAAAACTATTCTTTTGAAAGCCATTCGTTCCAAAGGGAATAAGAAGTAGAAAGCAGAGTCAGCTATGCAAAGACCTCTTCCAGTTTCTCTTTCCTCTCTGCAACCTCTTCTTGTAATGACGAAGACAACAGCCCCGTTGGGCTTCCTGCCTCCCAGGCCCTCAGTGCTAACTGCATCGTGGTGACTCGGATTGCACAGAAAAAAGACTTTCTGATCCCCCATCCCCACTTCATCCCTTCTGTGACCTGCAGTGGTATTTAACGAACAGGGAGCCAAGATGTACTATAGGCTGGGGCAGGAGTTCTGGTGCTTTTGCTCGGTGCCATTTACTGGAGTGAGTCTCTCAGACAAACAGGACATTGGTGTGTTCTGCCCACATTGGTGTGTTCTGTGTTTGCACATTGTCCCACTTGCTGCAGAGGGAGTGTTGCTGCTCAGATGAACAATTTGGTTTTGCTGGTGTGTAAAGCCATTTTCAGTCACCATTTTGAGGCTTAATGAAAGGAAATCTCATTGACCTGGAACCAAGACAGGCACAGAGGGGACTACAACTGTTCCCAGTTTCCTGTCCTTGAAGCCTCCAGTTTATTTTCTGGCATCAGGCTGTGAATTGTACTTCACACAACTAAGCAGCAAGTTACAGATCTTAATGCGCTGCGCATATTTGGCATGTGCCCAGCCTGCAGTGCATTCAGGTCAAGGATCGTGGAATCAGCTTGCTTACTCTCACTGGGATTTGCTGGTTAAGTATGCTGCTGTCCACAGTCATTTAATATTTTAAATATCCTGACGTAATCTCACATCCTTTTACTCCTCCCTCCTTGTAAATAAAAGAAAAAAAGTAGTCTTTGAAGCACTTTTGAAGGAAAAATGGTAAGAGATGAACATGGAATGAATATGTGAAACAGCCACTGCTCCCTAAAACCTGAGATACTTTTGGCACTGTGGGACAAACTGTAGGACATAAGTCTAATCAATTTTTCCTTGACGTCAAACAAGTACATTACAAATACATGGAAAAGCTGGTCCTTCAAATTCAGCAAGAACAATCCCCGGTACTGCCCTTTGATGAAGGAATGGTGGTTGGAAGGAAGGAAAGGCACAATTTGGAATCCCTTCCTCTTCTCCATTACTCAGTACCTTCAACTATGAAGCTGTGAGGCCTATTTACTCTTTTTAATACATTTTAGTTTCATTCTACAGTTTCGTACCTACAAATGTAATTAGTTGCAGGAACCTAAAAGAACTTTGCTCAGTTACATCTTCTTCCACTACACTTCTGCAGCTCAGCTACATACTATGCACTGGTTTACACTGAAAGGCAATTGCTACCTTTGTTATTTTTGATCACTTCTTTCAAAACTTGCTGCATGTTTCTGATTAGTGTCTATAAACCAATGGGATCTAATCCTACAGGTTCAGATTTACACCTGGAAATCTCTGTACCTAGATTATTTTAAAGTCAAAAGGGAGCCTAGAGTGGGACATGCTGAGAGTACAAGTAGTTCATATAACGTTGTTTTACTGTTTCCTGAATTAATTTTCCTGTCTTTTTTTTTTTTTGTTATATTCTGTAAGACCTCACTGTGATAGCTAAGATCAGATGGTATAAAGCCATGAATTCTGAAGAAAATGAGACTTGCTTTATGCAACTCATCACTTAAATCTGCCTTAAATACTACATGCAGTGCCAGAAGAAGGGAAGGTGGAAAATGTGACTGTTAAAAGGATTTCTGGGCTCACCCAAATCAGTGTTTGATGTCTGTGCCAGGCAACTTACTGGAAACTATAATAAAGAATAGAATTAGTAAACTGAATACATATTGGAGAAGAATCAGCGCTACGTATCAAGTAGGATGCCATGTTTTGCAAGCCCATTACAGTTTCAAGAAGTAATCTTTTTTCTTGTTTTTTTTTTTTTTTTTAATATAGATAAGATGGTTCTGATGACATACCTGGATTTCAGAAAACTTCTGACCTGGTCTTTCACCATAGGCTCTCAAAGTGTATTCATGGAGAATGAAAGGAAAAGGATAAAACAAATGTCTAAAAGAAAGGAAATTCATCGCTAGATCACACAATAAAGCTGTTCCCAGAACCCACAAAAATTTCTGCTGTTCATCATCTTCAGAAATTTTAAGGAGAAGCTGAATACCATGAGGACAGTTGGCAGATAATACAAAATCTGTACGAACAGCCAAATCCTAAACGGGCAATTGAGTATTTCAGAAGACTTTTAGGAAAAATAAATATTTTTCTGTTGACTTAGTGAGCTAAATTGACTTGATGAGAGGTCACATCAACTTTCTTATGCCATTAAAGCTTTCTTGACAAATGTATAGAGTTGGCGTTACTGGAGTTACCTGTCACACCCAGCACAGGGCAGTACAGGTAGCAGGGGTAGCAATGGGCAGTCTACATGCAGCTCTGACCATACAGGCCTGGGTAACAGCTAACAGGGTTTCTACATTGGACGTGTCCTGACATGTACACATGGACAAGGGATGGTAAAGGCTGGCTTGCAACATATTAGTGTAAACTACATCCATATCTTTCCAGAGGATTTTACCCTAAAATACTGGAATAAACTGAAAATTTAGTTGTGAAAAATATATGCATTGGGGTGTGGGGAGAATCACGGAATGGTTTGGGCTGGAAGGGACCTTAAAGATCACCTAGTTCCAACCCCCCTGCCACGAGGAGAGACACCTTCTACTAGACCAGGTTGCTCCAAGCCCCATCCTGGGGGCCTTCCAGGGATAGGGCAGCCACAACTTCTCTGGGCAACCTGTGCCAGTGTCTCACCACCCTCATAGCAAATAATGTCTTCCTAATGTCTAATCTAAGTCTCCCCTCTGTCAGTTTAAAGCCATTCCTCCTTGTGCTGTCACTACATGCCCTTGCAAAAAGTCCCTCTCCAGATTTCTTGTAGGTCCCCTTTAGGTACTGGAAGGCTGCTCTAAGGTCTCCCCGGAGCCTTCTCGTCTCCAGGATGAGCAACCCCAACTCTCTCAGCCTGACCCAAGCTTCTCCCGTAAGGCAGCACTGGGTTGGGTTTAGCGCCAGCTTCTGCCTCTGTAGCGAGGAGCCCGGCAGTACGGGAGCCAGCCGCCTTCCCGCCAGCTCCCCGGGGCTGGCTGCCCTCCCATCAGCCCCGCTGCTCGCATTCCGCCCCGCAGCTCAGCACGGCCTTGCCCGGGGGCCGGGCAGGTACGCGGGGCCGCGCTTCCCCGCCGCGAGGTGTGTCCCTGGGTGGCGGTGACTTGGCGAGCGATTGGGTAGGACGGGCGAGCGGCTCCCCGGCTCCCCTGCTGGGCTCCCCGGCGCCGCGCTCCCGCAGTAGCAGCGCGCTCCCCAGCCGCGCCGCCGCCCGCCCGCCCCCCTCGACTCCGATCCGCTCCTCCAGCGCCCGGCCCGGCCCGGCCCGGCCCGGCCCAGCCCGGCTCGGCTCGGCTCGGCCCGGCCCCAGCCGCCGCCGCACCATGCCGCATCCCTCGGCGCCCCTCGGGGCCGCCCTGCTGCTCGTGCTGCTGGCGGCAGACTCCTCGCAGAGTGAGTACCGCGGGAGGGGGTGGGAACCGTCCCTGCGGCACACGCCGCATCCCGAGCATCCCCCACCGCCGTGTGTGTGTGTGTGAGAGCGGGCTGGGGAGGTGCTGGGGCTGCGGTGTTTGTGCTGAGGGGCGGATGAACAGCTTCACGGTTGCGGCAGGCGGGAAGGCGGCGGCTGTAGCAGCAGGGAATGCCGGTGCGGCTGCGGGGTCGCCAGTGTGAGGGGCCGGAGCGACACCGAAGCGACCCCCGGGCGGGAAGGGGGTGTGCTTGCTGCTCCCGGCGGAGCGGCTTGGTGTGCGGGGACGGAGGTACCAAGGCGGCCGGGCAGGCTCAGCTGTTCACTGCTGCCTCTCCTTCCTCCTGCTCCTCTCCTCCTCTTCGTCCTCTGCACACCCCCGGCGACCGGCGGCCCAGCCGTGCTGCTGCGCGCCCCGGAGGCTGCCCAGTTCCTGAGGCAGAGGCATCGGCGAGCCTACCAGATCTTCGAGGAGACCAAGCAGGGGCACCTGGAGAGGGAGTGCGTGGAGGAGCACTGCAGCAAGGAGGAGGCCCGGGAGGTGTTTGAGAACGACCCCGAGACGGTAAGGACGCAGAGCCGCCGCGAAGACTGGGGTGGGTTGTCCGCTCTGCCCTCCCTCCCACCATCGATCCTTCCATGCCTCGATCCTTCTATCCCTCCATCACTCCATCCTTTCATGCCTCCATCCATCTGTGGCTGGGTGCCAGCTGCCTGCACAGCTGGTGAAGCCATTGGGAGGAGGAGGAGGAGGAAAAGGAGGAGAAGGAGGAACTGGAACCATTAGGTGAATGACTGGAAGTCACCCAGCATAACTAGCACCCAGCCTGTGCAAGGGCTGTGTCAGTTCTGTCTGGTTAGGGTTAAAAATGCTTCCATGAGGATGGTCTGGGTGAGCAGCCCAGCCTGGCACCTGCTGTATGACTGCTCTCCAGAGAATGGAAGGTCCCTGTTCGCCCATGGTGCGAGTCCATGTAGCAAGACCAGTGCAACATAATGCAGTGGCTTCTCTGTCTGGACACCTTACCCATCCCTCTTTTCTTAAGCCTCCCATCTCAGCTGTATTTGAAATCCCCTTAATGTTGTGTCATATGTCAGAATAGGGGTTTCTCAGAAGTATGTCATAAACACACTGTAATCCTTTTGGGCCATATTCAGCTTGGTCAGCATTTTGGAATCAGTAGGTTCATGACATACCACTGCAGCAGCAGGAGAGCACATGTACAAGAACATGGTGCTGCTGCACATCTAACACTAAGTGTGAATTCACATTTACAGCCTGCACACTGGACACAGAGCTGACTTTTTCCAGCCTTCTCCAGGCTGACTTTCACTTCAGTCTTCTTTTCACTTCGGGCAGCATGCGGTTGCATTTGTGTTGCTTAATTAAGCTTGGCTTACTCTTCCAATTATTTTACACCTCCTCTCTACACTGTTTTGGATAGGCTGTTCTCGTTACAGAGATTATCTGGCATTGATTTAGCAGTGGGAAGTGGATTTTCTTGGTGTTCAGACTGAAGCTTGGTATTGCACAGCATGTTCCTATTAGCAGTATGATGCTCTAGGGAGAAGATAGGACAGAGTTTGTGAGTGCGTGTGTACACAGAGACACACCACAGGCAAGGGAGGGACTGAGGAGATTTTTTATGCTTCAGTCAGACAAGTCTTGACATGTGTGCTTCATTAGCAGGCTCAGTGCTGGATATACAGAGCAGTAGCTTGCTGTCACAAGGCAGTAGTAAGTACAGCAAAAACATTGTGATGCTGGCTTTTGTTTTTGACAATCTTTAATTCAGAGCTTAATGCAGAGCACTTGCCTAGGCAGTGTTTAATGGTACACCTCTTATGTGGACGCGTGCATCTGCATGCAGCAGTGTTTGCTTTTGTCCTCTAAAACTGAGCTAATACAGAGTATGGGTAATTGTAATGTGGTGAGAATAGCTGGCACAGCGATTTCCATATTCATGTTCAATAACATAATTTTAAGCTCAGTATAAATATTCACCATATAGTAGTGAATGCAGGAAAAAGTATCCCAAATACTATTTTGTATTAGTCTGGAAAAAAGGTGATCTGAGGTCACTGGTTTTGCTAACGCACTTCTGGCCATGAAATCAGCCAAAGGCAATGCATGGATAGATCAGTTTAGAGGGTGGTAGACTCTGTAAATGTGTCAGGAGTCTTTAGCAGTATTAAGTACTTATTTTGTATATTGGAAAAAATATATAGCTCTCCTACTGTAATGAAAGCAGTGAAATCACTTTGGTTTACATTTTTTTTAACGTGTAATATAAATTGTCTAAGATCCAGTCATGCATTTAAGTGTGCTTTGCAGGACAATGCAAATTTTCTGTCATTGCAAATGATTTTGATTTTTTTGGGTGCATTTGTTTTGTTACTACTGCTAGGTCTCTCTCTAGTTCTGAAGACCTCTGAAGAAATATCACTAAGGCTAGATGAGCTTCTAGTGTCTGTGCCCCCTTGCTTATTTTACATGCACTTCTGCCCCAAAGTACTGTATTTTATAATACTTTTAGGTCTGCAGTGACATAAGAGCCTACCTTTTCTGAGACACACACCTCCCAAGAGCTGTGAGCATGCTTATTACGTGCAGTATGTCCTACTCGTTGCTGTTACTTTGCTTCAATTTGACGGGGAAGCAAGTGTGCTGCCTATCGGGGGGTTTTACGGCCCTTCCTATCCATTCTGCAATAAGTATGTGGCATGAAGGCAGCAGCTGCTGTTCAGTAGCAGTTTTCTAGTGCACGGTGGCAGAGTTCACGTGTGTAGGCTGTTATCACTCTGCACACTGGAAACCTCCAGTGCTTTGTAAGTCTTAGGTGACTGCTCCTCTGGTGGTATCTGTGGCTTTGAGTATTAAGGCACGCCTGAGGTAATGGAAGTGTTTTTTAAATGCTAGGAAGCATTTAAATGCTGTCATTTCACTGATGCCATATGGGCTACAACCAGGATGTTGTATCCTGGTGACTGACAGAAGAAGGGAGCTAGCTGAGACAGACTTGACTCAGGGAAGATGAAAACTGTTGATAAACAATGCCTTGCAGTTTGAGGAATTACAGTTACTGCAGTCACGCTTCAGCGTGTTGTCAGGCTGCAGCTGGTCCATGCTGGTAAAAAGAGGAGTTTTTATTGTGATTCCGTGTAGTTTAGGAAGGCTGAAACTTTTGTTTCTGCCTTCTGAGCTTGGTCACATGGAGTAACTACTTAGGTCATAGCAGAAACAGCTACAGCTACTTTTTGCACTGTGCTGAGCCGTGTGGATAACCTTGTCGTAGGCAAGCTATGAGGAGCACATCAGTGCACTGCTCATCTGTGCTGCTGTATCTCCCACCTTTTATGCTTTAAAGCATAAAGTGAGCATGAATGTAGGCATTTGGCTGTTTTCTGTCCCATGGAAGCAATAGTCTTGCAGCCTTGACAACTGAAGGTTAATTTGAGATTCATTAATAGCTTGTCGTTTCTCTGACCCGAAGAAAGGCTTGCCATATGAGCACAAGTATTGTTTCTCTTCCCTTTCCCTCCATTAGGTGATCTAATGTGAAGGAAATGTATGAGTCTTCATTAAAAACCTTGCCATTCTTAACTCTGTTATGGTTGTGTGAAGAGAATTTGCAGGCCTAATTTCAAGACCTGTAACCTAAAGATGTGATAGGAAAGTGCATTAACTGATTCAATCAGACAGATGAAGAAAGGCTGTAGTGTAGCTTGTGGTGCATATATATATATGTATATACACACATATATATATTATATATATATATCATAATACCCTTTTTTGCATGCCTTCCATTGTTTCAGTGAATAGCTTTCCAAAGCAACATCTGCAGGCAGTCAGCAGGAGATACACATTCTCTGAAACCTGAATGCGGGTGTTGCCACATGTGTGATTACTTACATCAACTGCTAAGAATAGTGTATTAGGCAGGGCTAAATAGTCATTCATTTGCAGGCCAGTGCAGCTTTTGTCTTTTATGTTACGGAAAATATAAATATCAGCTCACCCAGACTGGAGGAAGGAAGATCAATTGAAAGGTTTTTATATTGTTTTCTTTTTTTTTAGGGGGCAGAACAAAACCCAGTCTGTGCCATTTGTATGACTATACATGGTAAAAACAAGTGTGAGCCTGGGTTAATGACTCCTGCAGCCTATCTATATCTTTTTCATGACGTTGATTATAACATCCTTAGATATTACAGCAGAATTCTGGGATGGTTCCCGTTTTGCTAGATTGAGGTACCAAACAGAAACATGGAAAAATAATACGTTGTGAAAAAATAAGGGTGGAAGACATGTTCATGGGAGGTATGAGGACTGTTTCTAAATGTGATCTATTATAAAGATATGCTAGGTGTGATAGATGAGATGAAGTTGCAAAATATCTTTGCGATAGAGATAAGAATGTTATCTTACTTGAAATGTTGATGGGGCCTTATAAAAAGCAGTACTGCAGAAATATTTAACCTTGGTATGCAGTCAAGGTATTACAGCTTATTAACTGACTGATAAACTGCCCTGGAATTTCACTGGCCTGTTCTAAAAATGTGGTCATCCAAGGGGCAGAAGGGAGCGTAGTTAATGGTGTTCTTGGAAACGCTGATTTCGCTGAAGAGTAAATACAGCAAAATGTGTAAGCAGTTTCTCTGTTTTGAAAGGCTCAGCATAGGAAACACATTCAAATGCAGCCTCTTGTAATCTGGTATCACAGTATTATCAGTACAGCATTTGTCACTGCACATCTTGCTTGCTGTTGTTATTGTTGAAAAATTAGTGGTCTTCCTGCAGGTCACTATTAGATTTGCCATGCTGTATGCTTTGAAAGGCCCACCAGAAAAATCTGATGTAGGTCAGCCTGGCTGCCTGTGGTTACTGTTTATGGGTTTGTCCCTCAATAGAGTACCTTGGAGAGCTAGCTGGTTTTCGCATGCATGCAGAATAAACATCCAATTGACATGCAGGGACATGAAAAGTTCTCATGCTTCTCGAGGGACTTGCATCTAAGCTGCTGTTAAAATCTATGGCTGTACATAAAATACTGGCAGAGAATCACAGAGTAACTTTAAGGGGACTGAAGAGGTCTCTAGTCCACCCATCTAGTCCAGTTTCCCACTTAGTGGCAAGAGTGGCAGTGAGACCAGACAAGGCTTTTCAGGGCTTTTTTCAGTTATGTCTTGAAAATTACTGATCCTAACAAAGCATCCAGCAGTGTCAGCATTCTTTCTGCTAGGCTGGGTTAGGGACAAGCCGAAATGCAGATGAAACAATGTTCAGGGTGTGATAATGGCCAGTTTGGTTGGCTTTCATAATGTTAGTGGTTCATTGGTTTTATTTCTTTATTTGTTCCACTATGTGATAGGGTCATGATAACACAGACAAGCTGCATGCATAGACTAGAGTCATCCAAACTTTGATCCTTTAGGAGGGGTGCTTGGCAGACAATATTTAGGTCTTATTCCTAAGAATAGCAAGGTAAATACACACTTGTAAATACTAATGAGAAAAGTATGAAGGCATGTAGGGGGAGGAGAGGAGTTACCGGGAATGTT